CCATCTCTTGGGTGACAAGTTATTGAGAATTTAAATTTGGTCTAGTGCTACACACATCACAGTGTGAGCTTATGACATATACCCGAGGAATCACCATTCTCGGTGGTTAAGACCCTCCACCACATCTCACATGCATGTGTCATGCATAAGAACATGTTATGACATTGTTATTCTTTATTAGTTATATGTTAATTCTTAATTTTAAAAATCTCTAAGCTAGATCACATCTCCAAACAAGTGATCATTAGATTGAATGATCTAACAATATAATTTCTAAAGATAATATAACAATTATGTAATATATTCAAAAAAATAAGTGCAACAATAAAATCTTTATCAATATTTAAAAATATTATATGAGTTGCATTGGATGTGCAAGGGTATACTATATTACACTAGTATTATATTTGTGTTTAATCCCGTAACATGCATGATGTCAATCATATCAACTTGATGTTTTGTCTTGCTTTCGTATATTGCACCTTGTTGTTTCGTTGGTAGTAATTGAACTTTTTGGATCACAAATGTGTAGTTCGCCTTCAGGGCGTTATTTAGAATTTATAATTATTGACATTAATTAAATAAATATTATAGATGGAACCAGTCCCTTACACAATTCCTATGTCGCACCAATTATTCCCTTGTACAGACACAAACAGTTAACTCGCATTCGAGCTGTTCTAATCAACTTCGCACTCAAGGTTGAGTTCCTATAGATGATGCTATGGATGGGCATTCAATGAATCTCCACCAAAGCAAAATGGAGCAAAGCTTGAAAGAGGATGGCAGCAGAGACCTAGAATCAGATCTAAGGGGAGCGAGCCCAATTAAGCCGAGGGTTGAGTTGCTAACTTAGTATAATTTGTCTAGATAATGAGATTAGTTCAGTGATTTTCTCGAACAGCTTTTTTTTATGATTGGGTGACGGAGCTTGTTGTTTATTTATTTATTTTAATTTTGTGTTGTGCACGGCGGAAGATCGAAGCCACACGAGCAAGAACGAGATAAATCACAACCAATAAGCCAAACATAATACTACAGCAAAACAAACGAATTTTACGTGGCTTGGCAAGTTGCCTACGTCCACGAGGCAAGGAGGGGGGAGTTCTTACTATTAGAAATCAAGAGAATACAAATAGTGTTACAAATCTCACCAAATAAACCTTAAAACAAAGTCTCTAGATCTCTCACAACTCTCCCACAATTGGATGCAGCAATCCTCTTTCAAAGACTGCTCAAAACATCCTTGCTTAACCATAATTAATTAGGATTAAGATTATATATCAATTCAGAACGAAACAGGTCAGAAAACCAAACTCAACTGCAAACCCGATTCGCGGTCGACCGTAGAACCACGCGCAGTCGACCCGGATCCAACGACCGAGACTAAAAACCCCCACAGGGTTTGGCCGGTCGACCGTAGAACCCATCAGGGTCGACTGCGAAAAGTCCAGAGACTTTTCTCAGTCGTGTGCATGTTTACGGTCGACCGCCGCGTCATCCGTGGTTGACCGCGAAACTGCCAGAATGTCTTCTGTCTGCGGTTTTCGTCGTTGTGCTCGTCATTTCTTTAATTCTCCACCTCGGCGAACGTTTCTACCAAAACATAGCCGACACCAAAACATCCAAATATCCCACTTGTTGCATCCAGGATGAAGTAAAAACAACTCACTTCAACAGACTCAGACCAAGACTGGAACCCAAACGAGAGCTCAAACACTTCCCCCCATCGAAATCAACAAATCCAACCGGCTGCATCAAACAAGACTGCCTACGTATCCTCTTGCCTAATGAATCAAGCCGAACGTAGTTCACCCAAATGACCTCCAAAGGCCCTCAACACTGAAGAATATTCAATAGCTTCAAACAATGACCAAATTTTACACCTGAAACAACTTTGGTCAACATATCCGTAGGATTGTCCTTCGTGTGGACCTTCTCCAATATGACGTCTCCATCATCCAATACATCATGAACAAAGTGGAATCTCACATAATATACTTAGTGCGTGCATGATAAATCTAGTTCTTCGCAAAATAGATAGCCGACATGCTATCATAATATACCCGAATGGTCTCCTGTGCAATCTCCAAGTCCTTCAACAGTCCACGTAACCACAAACCCTCCTTAATAGCTTCAGTCACCGCCATATACTCCACCTCTGTAGTAGAGATGGCCATTGTAGATTGAAGTATGCATCTCTAACATATCGGTGCTCCTGCCAATTTAAACACATATTCTGAAGTAGACCGATGCTTGTCAAGATCCCCTGCATAGTCTGAATCCACGTAACCAATACAATCCTGCCCATTCTTCTCACTCTTCTGGAAAATCAATCCAACATCTATGGTGCCTTTAATATACCGTAGAATCCACTTTACAGCCTCCTAATGACCCTTCTTAGAGTCGTGTATGTACCTCAATACCATGCTCACGGCCTGTGATAAATCTGGCCTCGTACACACTATAGCATACATCAAGCTACACACTTTACTGGTATATGGAACATTCAACATGTAATCTCTGTCCTCAACTAAAACTGGTGACATATTAGCTAAAAGCTTGAAGTGGGGAGCTAATGGAGTGCTAACTGCTTTTGCATTACCATCAAAGCTGGATTTCTTTAACATCTTCTGCAAGTAACTCCTCTATGTAATCTTAAATCTCCCCTTCACCCTGTCTCTCTTGATTTCTATACCCAATATCTTCTTTGCTTCTCCAAGATCCTTCATCTCGAACTCGGATGACAGCTCATCTTTTAACTTTTGAATAGCCGAAGAATTCCTAGAAGCAATAAGCATATCATCAATATATGAAAGCAAATATATGTGCTCACCATCCTGTAGCTTGTGCATGTAAATACATGGGTCATATGAGCTCCTCGTGTACCCATGGCCAATCAAGAAGCTGTCGAATCTCTTGTACCACTGTCGCGGCGATTGTTTCAAACCATAAAGAAACTTCTTCAGCTTACAAACTAAATCTTCGTTTCCTACAGTTTTGAATCCCAAGGGTTATGTCATGTAGATCTCTTCATCTAAATTTCCATGTAGAAAGACTGTCTTCACATCTATCTGGACCAAATTTGCTATGCCACCAATGCTAATAAAATATGAATCGACGAATGTTTCACAACGGGTAAAAATACCTCATTGTAATTAACGCCCTCAAGCTGTGCATATTCCTTGGTAACCAATCTGGCTTTGTACCTAATGTATCCAATAGAAGATCCCTCCTTCTTCGCATATACCTACTTGAAACTAATAGCTTTCTTACCCTTAGGTAGCTTTGCAAGTTCCCAAGTATCGTTCTTCTGAAGAGACTGCATCTCCTCATCCATAGCTTTTCTCCACCTGATCAAATCGGGGCTAGACTCTTCCTCCCTGAATATGAATAGAACCATATCATCAATGACCTTCACTGATAATGCATATGTGACCATGATATCATTATACCTAGCTGGTCGACGAATCACCTTTCTAGGTCTATTCGCTGCAATAGACTCCTGAACATGACCCTACTCCTGAGTCTCATAATCCACTATATCCTTTATCTGCTCGGCTACCATCTTATCTCCTCCTAGTATCACCTCTGTAGGAGCCTCAATGGATACAATACTATCTGGAGTGAGTGAAGTCACATCATCCTCTACCTGCTGTGATATCTCTCGAATCTAGTCTTCTTCCACCTGCCGAGGAACTTGAGGCTTCATCAAATGCGCCTCATCAAATGTGACGTCTCTGCTAATAACTATATATCTTCTTGTTATGTGGATTCCATAACTTGAAGCATTTAACTCCATCTCTAAATCTCACAAATACTGTCTTCCTCGCCCTCGGATTCAATTTACCATTACTAATATGATAATAAGCAGGACACCCAAATATCCAAAGTGACTCATAGTGACTCATAGGTCTCGGGTGACATTTGGACTGAAACTCGACGTGCTTGCAGTGATGACCTGGCCGTTAGGAGGGGTGATGGTGTTTCAGGAAGCACTGAAGGCGGTACTCCATTACCTTCTCTTTTTGCGCTCGACGAGGAGGTTGAGAAGAGGGCAATCTTCTCCCTGGAGAGAAGAGTTACATTAGTAATGGGTTTGCTGTAGGATTTGGGATTAGATTATTCTTTTTGGATTTTGGTTTTTTGGCTTGATCGATCAGTGGAGGAATTGGTGGGATATTTCATACGTATTGTATTTGTATGATGATGGAGGGTTTTGCTTCTTGGCTCAGGGAATGGTCTCGGGTAGCAGGAGTCTTTGGCCGGAGATGTTGCATGTCCTCATTCCTTTTGAGTTTAAGAGTTGGCTAAACCGCACTTAAATACCCTATCGTTTCACCATCTTTACATTTAAATATCCCAAGTCGTAAAAAGTAGCATTTTACTATACTAAGTTGTAAATAAGTTAGCTTTTTTTGGAGAAAAAGATTTAGCATATATGTACATTCTATTAGTTGTGTTGCGAGTGTTCCTAGAAATATTAACAATTGACAGAAAGTGTTAAAGTATCGCTATTTTCTTACAACATAGGATATTAAAGTGTCATTATCTTATAAGTTAGAGCACTAGAATGCTATTTTTTACAACTTAGAATATTTAAGTATAAATTTGGTGGAACAATAGGGTGTTTAAGTGCAGATCTTTCACAACTCATGATATCAAAATAGTTGTTTTTACTATTTAGGGTATTCAAATATAAAAATAGTGAAACAATAGGCTAAGCATGCAGGCCCACTGATTTTTTTATGATTCTGTAATGTTATCTCTTCTCACTCTTTTATGATCTTTATTTATGTTAATCCGTATCGGCTAGCTTGCAAGCCCACTGATTTTTCTGGACTAAGCCCCTTTCAGGAAGCTCCATTTCATCTCCTTTTTCTCACATAGGCCCCGTTCATTTTTATTAAAACTATATATGAACCTCATTTTCCAATAACTCCTCATCTTTTTTAGGTTCAAGAACATCATCAGATGATTATACAAAAGAATGGCACATGTAATACATGGAAAGCACCGGTGCTTGCACAAGAAAAACATAATGTTTTATTCAGCATCAACAATCTAGATGCGCACAGCGAGCAATTCAAAACGTATGAAAGAAACATAATTTCGAGACGACCCTTCTAAATTACGGTTGATTTGGTAGCCATCCTTCCCTGTCAATATATCTTATGCTGGAATATTTGTGCAAGTCATCTGGAGATAGTTTTTTCTCCCACTTTACTCTTTGATTAGGTTTGTATCCTTCACCCCAACAACTATCTTCTCCGTATATCAATGTTTGCCTGAAACAGACACAAGAAAAATTAGTTTGATCTTAGTTCTCGTAATCCACTATCAATTATCATAGGACACGGTTTTTTCTTCTTTTTTTAAAAAAATGTTTTTGGCAGTTTTATGATAGTAGTTTACAGATTGGATCGCACAATTCGTCATTAATTCTCAGAGGTATTATGTTTTGAAAAATTCCTCAATGACCCAGGAACACTAAATGATTACGTCGTAGTATCTAAAGGATTTTCAGTCTTTTATCAGTTTTTTGCTACCAAATTATATATAAAACTGACTCTGGAAAAAGATTTTAAAAGAGTAATCAAGTAGAAGAGAGATACATACTCATGGCCGACATAGTACCAAGCATACCATCCTTCAGGAACAACAATACCCGACATATACGAGTGAAGGAAGATGACAGTGGAGATTGGGCCATAGGCTCTTCCCAAATAGGCCTTATTGCTTCCGATCACCTGTGAATCCTTGAACACAAACCCACCTGGAGTAGTAGGGCCTCGGCCTTGTGCGGTTATATAGCTTACACTCCCCTCCGTATCCGGGGCCACCACTGAAAGAATGCAGTTCTACGTACCAAACACGAAAAAAATATCAATATTCATCGAAAAGATATTAGCAAATGTATGTGTATCTATATCCAACAGGGTATCTATTTATATCTATACTTATACTTACTTACTATACTACTTATAAAAGAGAATACCCATATCAAAACTTTTGATTTCCTTTTTTACCCTCTCAACTTTTAACAGCTCACAATAATACCATTATTGTTATTATTTATAAATCTAATTATCCATAACCTCTCATTAACTATGCACTTCTTCATTTTCTCAAATTATTTGATAATTCACTAGAATATTTTAATAACTTATAATGATAACAAAATTTATAAATATATAATAATTTATTGTAAAGAATTTTTAATTGTATAAAATAGTAAAAAATATTTTTTTTTAAAAATGTTGTAAATAATTATAATTATTAATAATATTAAAAATATGGGTTTTTTTATGTTGTAAAGAATATCACATTGTTTGATAATTAATATCGTCTTAGTAATAATAATTTGGATGTTATAAATTAAAAATACTTTTATTTTGAAAAATTAATTTAATTTGGATCCTTCAAATTTATGAGACATGTACTTTTCTCTTCTTTTCCAAATTATTTGGTCATTCACTAGAATAAGTTAGTAATTTATAACAATAATAAAATTAATAAATATATTATAGTTCATCATAAAGAATTATTAATTAGTTGTAATGATATAGTAAAATTATTTATTTAATGAATTATCGTACATAACTATACTTATTAATAATAGTATAAATAGGTATTAATTCTTTATATCGTTAGTAATATTGTGTTTTTTGATATTATAATATTGTCTTAGTAATAAAAATTGGATGTTATGAATTAAAAATAATTTTATTTAGGAAAATTACTTTATATAAAAATATTGGATCCTTGAAATTTATGAGACATGCACTTTTTCCTAAATAATAGTAATTTTAAATTATACCATCCAAATTTTTATTACAGAGACGATATTAATTATCAAACAAGGGAATATTCTTTACAATATAAAGTCATATAATATGAAAATTATTGCCATTATTTAATAAATATTGTAATAAAATATCTACATAACATATATATTTAATAATATAAATGGTTTAATTATTTCAATAGTGTTACTTAAACTAATGATTACATTATTATTTAATAATTAAGCTTTTAAATAAAATTTTAATAACATAATAATAAGAAAATTTGAATTACTATTAAATGTATGTTAATAATAATATAAGTACTAATAATAGTATAACTTAAAAATTTTTAATCATAGTGTGATAAACTTAACTTTGTAAAATATTTATATATAATTTAGTAAATAATATAATATTAAATATAAAAAAATCCATGTGCAAAGCACGTGCATTATACTAGTGGACATAAAACAGAAAATGAGTATCATTGGTATCAAAACAATATTGATCTGTGGTACTGACGTGATCATATCTTAACCGTTAAAGAGTAAATGTGACGTATTTAGATGAGTCGTTTTATTTATTGTTTTTGGCTCTCACGCATGTGTACCTCATACATAGACTGAGCATAGCCAAATATGAAATCCATAGAGCCTTCGATCCAACAGTTCTCAAAGTAGTGGTGACCAAGATAATCGCAGAGGGTATCCTGAGAGCCTTTGAAGGTGCAGTTATGAAATGAGGCCTTGTCTCCTCCAACTAATGCTGCTAGCGCACGTCTTAAAGGATTCTTGTTCCCCACATTGTACGTGTTCTGCAGCGTACCAAGCATTTAAAGGATAAATATCAACACTAAAACTTTTGTGCAAATTTAATAGATGAAAAAGATTTTGAAATTTTTCATTAGACCCATTATTCGTGATTAATAATTGTAGAAAAATGCTAAGCCTAAAGTTATAACTAACAGTAAAGTTTGTACCAATTGTAGAAAACGTTTTTAATAAAGTATGTCATGAATATTATTTATGTCTTATACATCATTTCCATGCTTAATTATACCAGAAACTGGATGCCCCGAGCAACAAAATTGTCTGCATAGAGAGTGACGGTAGCAGTGGCCATTAGCTCTACTGAAGTAATCGTGGTTGAATTTGGTTCCGGGTCATTATTGATGTAGTCTCCCCATCCAATTATCGTCGAATTTGATCCTTCACCTTCTAGTAGTATATGCTCCTTGCCACGTGGTATCATAACCTTTTCCCTGTTTAGAATGTTGATCAACATCCAAAATCATATATATCGACATAATAAACAATGTATATAGCTTCAATCCATGCATAAACTTTTAATTTAATTATATTTAAACCATATGACGTCCCCTTAAAAGTGGGAGTTAATAAAAACTTTTCTTTTTGAAAAATTCGCTTTGTCTTTCATTAAATTCACTAAAATACATAACTGATGTTACTTATTATATCCTTCTTAATAATTAATTGTGTTAAATTTTCAATTTCATTTATAATTAAAAGTATGAGAAATAAGTATTGCATGAGCCCCTAAACTCCAACTGTTGGCTTTAGGATTTTCGTCTTTCTTTTTTTTTTAATTTCAATATTTTTTAAATTGCATTGATCTCCATTATTCAATCTAACTCACCACTATCCATTCACTCCCCATTAATTATTCATTCCCCTTCGTAAAGTCGTCAGTTCTCATGACCTTTCAATTCTCCCTGGCCTCTATTAAATCCTACCCCATTTCCTCAAAGAAAACCTACTCCCTCCCGTTATCCAAACCCCACTTCAACTCTCTCCTCACGCCATCCAAGCAGTGGCTCTTCATCGCTGCTCTTTTGGTCACCTCCGCCTGTTTTCCAAAGTGCCACCGAAAATATCGCCGTCTAAACCGCCACGAACAACTTTGCCAATATTGTTGGTCTACTACTTGCATCACCAGCTCCCTACATCTCTAATCTATATATGGATTTTATTACATTTTTTTTTATTGGATATCCAACAGGAGGAGAGCTACCAACTTTTGAAATACAGTGATTATGTTGGATGTTGAGTATGTTTTAATGACTATGGTTGTTCGGAACTGTATTTAATGTTAATTTGTTATTTGGTTAGATGAAATTGTTAGTATTTATTACTTTTTCATTCAAACTATCTTCTTGAGGTAGCTAGGAGGGA